GAGAAGCCTTTGATAAAATGAAAAAAAGAAAAGAAAAAAACAGATCTAGTAGGACACGTTCGACTTCATATAATCTAAATATTTCTATTAACATCTTTTCCATGTTCTTCGTTTTTGAAGCACCTCAGTGCCTCACTCAGGCTTCCTCTTCTTTTCCTGTTCAAGTGACATGAGCAGCTCATAATAAAACATATTTTATAAGTATATAACGTTTTTCTATTTAAAAAACATAAAATAATTCAAATTACATATCGTTTTGTTTCATCTCTCTTCCTTATAATGCGTATTAATGGTGACTTAGGCTCTGTTTGGATAGCACCCCAAACCATGGTTTGGGGACCCAAACCATGGTTTGGGGAAAATGCTATTTGGATAGCACCCCAAACCATGGTTTGGGGACCCAAACCATGGTTTGGGGAAAATGCTACCCAAACAGCCTCTCCAAAAACCAAAACCATGGTTTTGGGTCAAAACCATGGTTTTGACTCCAAAACCATGGTTTTGGAAAAAGCAAAATTTTTTTACTTTTGGAGAAAAAAGGGAGAGTGTGTGGGCCTATATGATATGTATCTTGTTATTTTTTTTTATAAACATATTTTTTATAAATATATTTAATCTTATATTTTATAAATATATATAGACATTAATTATTTATTAATTATATTATATTATGTATTATAATTATGTTGGTAAAAAACATATTATTAACAATTTTATTTCTTCAAATTAAAATATATCATAAAATCTTTTTTCTGTAATTATCATATTAACTTATGTTTTTTTTAGTAATTTGTATATATAAAAGTGTTTCTGATAACAACTATCCAAACACTCTCACTTCTCAGAATCACTTTTTTACAAATTATTCTTCACAGAATCTATTTTTTCTAGAATCTATTCTCCAGAATCACTTTCTAAACCACGGTTTGGTTTCATCCAAACACACCCTTAGTTCATAATTAATACTAAAAATAATTGTTTCTTTCCCAATTTTAATCCATGCAAAAGGCCAATAAAAATTAATTAAAAAAAAGTATTGGTAAACGGGAACATTTGTGTTAAATTAAATTCTACTGATTCTCCAACTCAAGGCATATTTATATTTCTTATTTTACTTTTGAAAAACGGAATTATATTTGTTTTGACGTTTTGGTATGCTGAGTAAAAAAAAATTTCAAAAAAATTCTTTGTACACATGACTAAAAATTAACAATAAAAGCAATAATTTTTAAATAATAACAACAATGAATATTAGTGACAAATATGAGTATAATATATAGTAAAAAGTATTTTACCTAACCCTCTCTAAAACCTTTCGTTTTTGGCCACATAACCTCCCTAAAAGCTGAAAATCAAAATAGATTGATTAAAAATGTAAAACTTCATTACCAAAAAAAAGAGCAAGATTCTAAAAGAAAAGTTAGATGGAAAATTGAAGGTAAAAAAAAGAGCTAATTTTGAAGGGAAAGAAAATAAAGATGACTAAATTGGGGGGAAATTATAAAAAGAAAAAGGATTAAATTGAGGGCCACGGAACACAATGCCAAGCTGGCGACTGTCGGTGAGGCATTTCTTCAATCCTTGGCTTCCTTGCAATTCCATAGTACCCAACACAGCATACCATGTTATGGTTTTGGTTTTAAAATATGACGTTTTGAAAGGATCAAGGTGATCTCCCTGGGAAAGAAAGCAAGCTCCGTGCTTTCCCGGTTATTTCCTTTCCCATCTTGTTCGTTTATTATCTCTGGCTTTCCTTACCTCTGGAATTTTAACTCTTCCTTTCTTGGCCTATCATCTGATGTGGGGCTCTCTCCTTTCTTGAAGGTTTTTTACCTTTCTCCTTGTTCGTGTTTGTTTGTTGTTTATTGTTATTATGATGGCGGACCCTAGTTTCATGGGGTTGGGTTTTGGGCTTTTGTGGGTTTTGAATCTTTTGATTTATGTGGGATGTATTGAAATTGGTATTGCAAGCGACATGTAACTTCATATGACGTGGGTAATGAGAGATTTGTTTCTGCTACATTTTGTGGGGTTGATTGATTGAATATTTTTCTTGTCATCCCCTCCTTCCGGCGTCAAGTCTGAGATGCACTTTGGTGCTCTTGTTAGGGCCTTGCACGTTTTCCTGGTGATGTTCCTTGCTTTTTTCTCAAGGGTTTCTTGAATTTTTTTCCCCTTAAACTTTTCTGTAATTGTAGTCTGTGAATGGTGCCTTTAGCTTGCAGTTTCTTGATTTTCAATGTAACCGCTTGTATTTCGACCATGTAATGCAGAGTCAGTTCATCCTTGGGATTGCATTTGAATAGTTGGGAATATGAGATTTTGACAGAAGGGCTTCAAAAGAAGGAACTGAGCAGCTTGCAGTTAGCATTGAGAATTTTCCATACGTATATACATTTTGAAACGTGGTCAGTTTGAAATTTTCTGGATTCTCAGTTGTGGTAGTAGAACAGAGAAGGTATTTCTTGATGATTTCTGGCCATTGCTGGTCCTTACCATAGAATTTATGCCCGAGAGGCTGGTAGGAGCTACGTTTGGAAGAAATTTTTGGGCTAGTGTACTTTTGTAGTGTGACAAGAAGAGATAGATTATAGACTGGATTAGGTTTGGGACATTCATGGGGATGGGTCTCATAAATGCAGAAGATAAGGATTCTGAGTTTGATCTTGAAAAAGGGTGGTCTGAAACTGAAGACAACTCAAAGAAAGAATCTAATCCATGTGCTGCAAAACAAGAGAAGTCATTGTTTGCGAAGGTTTCTGGTGGGCTTGTTGGTACAAAGGAAGAAAAGCCAGATTTGTATTGTAATGAGTCGAATTTAAGCAGTGTTTCCAAGGATGTGCCAAGCAAGTTATTCTCTGGACAAGACTCAGTTGACATGGAGAACACTCAAGTAAAGGAGAAACGTAAGAAAGGCAGTAATAAAAAGGCACCCAAACCTCCAAGACCTCCACAAGCTCCATCACTGGACGCAGCTGACCATAAGCTAATCAGGGAGCTAACTGAACTTGCCGTGTTGAAGCGTGCAAGAATAGAGCGCTTGAAAGCCTTAAAGAAGATGAGAGCGTCTAAATCATCCTCTTCCACCACCACCAGCAGCAGCATACTTGCCACGGTTTTCACTATTGTCTTTTGCATCGTGATAATATTGCAAGGTAATGTTTTGTGATTGAAGTGAATATTTATCCTTATACAGAATTGTATTGCTGATACTGTGAAGTGAAAACTGAATTGTGATTAGAATTAGGCTCATACATGATATAACCATCGGAATGTGCCCATTGTTGAGTTGAGTTTTAGACCAATGTAGGTGAACTTTGGTATCTGCTTTCTATTTACTTCCCATGCCAATTATTATTGTCTGCAGAGCTAGACCTTTCTAATCTCCTGATTAAGAGGTCTGTAACATCTCTGTTGTTTACACGAGAAGTCATTATTTGGTGATCGTTGCGTGTTGAATGGAGACCACTGTAGCATGTGTACGATGAGTAATCTCTAATGAAATGCAATGATTTGAAACTTTAATTATCATTTGCTAATTCTAGTTCTAAGGTTCTCTTATTTGATCCCTTTTTTTTTTTGGCCATCTTATTTGATCCTGATTTGGGATTGCTAAGCCATGGTAAAATTTTAAGATTCAAAAGATCAATGAGGCAAAAGCCTTCCATTATAAACGAGTCCTTTTAGATGTTGAGCTCATTATCTTGTCTTCAAATTAGGAATACTTTAATATCCACCGGATCTTGAAACTTGCTTGAAGGGTATTTTATTGACAAAGAGTATCCATGCTCATGCAATATATTTGGATCGTGGATTTTGGTGATGGCTGACCTGACTATATTTTGGATTTGGTTTTATACGTGCTTTCTGCCATGTTTACTCTGTCTCCTCTATCCCCCATTATTCGGGGAAAATTTTCAGCATAAACCTACTTAGAATGCAAGTTGGGAAATTGAGTCCCAGTGACCTGGTAGCCTTTCATGCCATTTTTGAGGAAACTGTAGCTTTCCTGTCTCTTATGGTCCAAGAAATTTTCTCTGCAGGAATGTCATCTGGAAGCAGTTCTGTGGCAAGCTTCCAGGGATCTCCTTTAGTTTCAGCTCAATACCCTCTCAATCCATCAGCAAATAACCCTAATGCTCCCAGTTTATAATCTCACAACAAGCAAGTTAAAATGTAAAATACACACCTTCTCAACCTCTCCTCTGGCTGTAGATCTTTCAACTATATTCATATAACACCATGTTGCAGCCATTTTAATGTCAATTTTGCAATTCCATGGTGTCTTGCAGTTTTGTAAAGCAGGTCACAAGTTCAGATTGGTCAGAACAAACGAGAAGACGCACGGATGAATGCATTTTTTTCCCAAGAATAACAATGGTGCAGTATTTGGCCAATATAAAAGGGTTTAGTGTTCTTATTCCTCTCACACGAGCCCTTTTATGTGTTTCGTTGTTCAGATAGTAATTCGCTTTATGTTATGAAACTGAGTGACAGAACCTGGTGAGTAACTTACCCCTTTATGTATATTAATCAATGTTTAGGGGGTGATGTTTCATTACATAGCTGTACTGCTAGTAGTGTTCTTCATTGGCTTTGCCCAATTCTTTTTTTCTTTTTTCTTTTTTTCCTTTTTTGGTCTCTTTGGCTAATGGCAACTTTCTGTTGCCTAATTGTTTCAATGGTTGTAAGTTGCATAATATTCACCGAGTGTTGAAGGAAAATTTTCCTCTAGATTCTTCAGGAGCACATGACTATCCTCACTTTTACAGAATTAATGAGTGGCCAAAAATTTGGAGATCAAATATATTATTTTAGTAAGCTTTTACAAATCTATTTGAAGTTGTTTTAATTTATTAATTTTCAAAAACTGGGTCTATCTAAGTTATCATCATTACGCATCTTTTGTGGGTTCACCTTGATTGCAATAGCACCCAGTGATATTGAACTAAGGAAAAGTGAAAGAAGTCATATAAACTATAAAGCATATGGCACCATTGACTCTGCTATGCCAGCCTCACAACAGCAATCCCTCCGATATTAAAATTCATGATTGATTCCCTTTTTATTATTCCCTCCAAACTCCAATGAAGACACAAAAACCCTAAAACTGGAGGGTGGGGATTGGTAGGGAATTCATTATGATGTTTTTTAGGTGCATCTATTGCATTCCCCGCTCATGTCTCATAGTCATAATGAGTCCTTTTTCTTTTCCTTTTTAAGACGGACCCAAGAATGTGGATGTTAAAAAAAAAAACAAAAAAGAATTCAAATTTAGCCTCTCTTTTTTTGGCAAGAAAAGAGGCCTCAGGCCCATCAAATTTAGCCATTTTGTCGTTTTTATATGATACATATGGCACTAGCAATTGTGAACAATAAAAACATGAATATAAAGATAAGATTTGAATTTCACCTGCCAAAAAAAAAAAAAAAGAACACTATCATGTTAAAGCCTTGTCATTAACTAAGAACATGTTCGGTTTTGCATTAAAAATCACGAAAATCATAGTTTTGGTGGAAGTAGGGATACCACTTGCATCAAATAAAATCATAATTTTGGTATTTTCTTACGTTCCCACCAAATTGTAGGTTGTAGTTTCTGTCTAGGAACAGAGCCAGGAAAGTTTCTCCTTCTCTGAATTGTTTCTTTTATCTGGTAATTGTTTGATCTCTTGAAGGGAACACATTTTCTAGGAAACTTAACCTAGCTTGCAAGAAAACACAAAAAGTTTTCATTTACGGGCCGAAAGGTGTGCCAGCCTTATTATCATTATTGCTCTCAATTTTCATTTGAGATGGTTGGATCTTGTTAGGGTCAAATGGGGTGTGCCAGTTTGGACCTTTTTTTCTGTTTTTTTAAAAGGAATATATTGAGGAATAGTTAAAACATGTGATCTCACATGTGACACCTCCGTCTGTCAACCAGAAAAGAAAATACTAAGGAAAAGTTGACCTACGAGGCTTCGCCATCTGATAGGAATTTGACACCTGTAACATCTGATCACGTTCACCGAAATGAGAAAATTCCAGATGCTTGGGACTGAAATTTGTTTGTTTTTTTCCATATGGTGATTTTGTTCTAGTCGTCTTCTTCCTCCAAGCCCACTCTCATATATTGAACTATGGCCACTATCTTTTCTTTTAATAACCACCAGAGATTGAGAAATGGCAGATAATAGAACCTTTTGGACAGCTGCTTGAGACAAACTTGCGAAATCTCAAGTTTCTCAAGATTGACTAATTTCTTTGGAGGATTATATCACTTTACCTCTTTTAAAATATGTTACAGATTAAAATATAGTAATTAATAAACTAAGCAAGTAGATGTCGGAAACGAATAAAAGATCACATTTTGAAACGTTTTCTGCGGAACTGGACTACAAAAATAAAAGGAAACATAGTATTCAAAATGCTAATAATCTTTGTATATATGACTAAAATGCTGAAGCAGAGGACATGGTACAATGATGAGAAAACTCGACAGTGACGGAAGAATACCTGCTTCAAAGTACAAATATATATAGTTTTGTACAAACCCAATAAATAACAATCCAAATTAGAGTAATGCCTTCTAGATCGGGGTGAACGAAAAATTAACCCTTGAGTAGTAACTTCATTATAGCAGAAGCCACACCAACAAGCTTCTGCAGAACCCCATTTCTATCCCCCAGAAGAGACTTATTCTGAGCAGAGCCTGAGAATCTCTTATCACAATTATTGATTTCTTTGGCAGCATCAGAGATACAGTAACTGGCAAACCCAAATCTGCCTTGGCTCACAGCATCGGCTGCTTGTGGAAGAGTGTACTTGACGATAGGTATGTAAGACTCTGCACAGAAAGCCAAGGCTTGCTCTAACTGTTGATCTGAAGTCTGCTTGATGAGCCCTTCTATGTAATTCAGAGTGTCACTTGTATTTGCCAGAAGGTTATTCACCATTACAAGAGCAGCCCCTTTGAGATCAGGTTTTCGGGTGAGAGGATTTGAATGGAGGGTGGCGATACAGAGGTCATAAAAAGGCGTCTTTCTGCATATCTGGTCTATGAAATCGCCATTACTGCTTGTATTAAGGTCAGAGGATTGGTGGGTTGGTGTGAAGAGAAGTGAAGCAACCAGAGCAAGAAGAAGAAGTGGAAAGGAGGAGGAGGAAGAAGAAGAGAGTACAGAGGCTGAGCTGAAGCTTCTCATTCTTCTGTCTCGAGAGAGAAAATGGCGGATGAAGAAGAAGATGATGGAGGAGGAGGGAGGGCGAATGTCTCTGATGTTCGTGCCTGAGGCTGACTGCTATTTATGGTTAGTTTGGTCGTTTGGTGTGTTAAAAATGGGGAAGTTAGTTTGTCGCTATTTGGAGAAAAAGAAAGAGGTGAAAATATTTGAAATTTGTTGTTGGCATACGTTTAGGATTTGAACACAATTAAAAAGAAAGAAAGAATATTTATAAACAAATTTAGTCTATGGAACAGAGATGTATAATAATCATATCATGTGAGTGAGCATGATTAAATTAAAACGTTTAATGTCCAAGTCTAAGAAATGGAAAGCGATGAGGCAGCTGTAAAATAATTGGAACAATGCATTTGTTAATGATGAAGTTCGAAGCATTATTTGAAGTCTAATCATGTGTGTGTGTGAGAGAGAGAGACTGGGAGGGAGGGAGGGGGTAATTGAAATTTGCAGGTTTTGAGGATACCATGGGCTGGAAAGAAGGAAAAGGAAGAGGTGTGTACACAAAGTTTAAGGTTTGAGGAGCTTGGGGCTGTCCCATGTATCACGGATGTCCTTTTTCTTCTCCTCCTTTTTCTGTTGGTTCTGATCCCATCACTGATTGATTCTGGGGTTCATGGGAGCCAGAGAGGGGAGAGAGAGAGGTGTGAGAATCAAAATTTCAAGTGAGGCTATAGCTTTGGTTCTTAACTGGGCTCTTGTGTTTTTCTCAAACTTTACTCCTTTCGTTTTAAAATATAAACTAAATTTTATCTATTGTTATGTTTATTAAAAAACTAATTAAAATCAATTTAAAAGAAAAAATATGTGAGGCATATATTTGTTTTTCTTAGTACACCCTTATTCATTAAAAGAATAAGTAAAAGATGTAATAAATGAATTAAAGAGGAGAGATAATATATAGAGATAAAATTAAAAAAATCTCATTAAATACTTGGACAAAAGTAAATGTTATTTTATAAAAAAAATAATCCCTTTAAGAAAATTTACCTTATATTTTGAACCGGAGGGAGTACTATCCAGATTGCAGAAGGTACCCCTAGTTTGTATATGATTTTACTTAAATTTAATAAATTGTCTTTTTATAAAAAAAATATGCTTTTTATTTTTGGTAGAATGGCATTTAGGTTTTAAAAAATAAATTAATGACAGGTGGATATTTTAGTCTCCAGTAAATTTTTAAAAAATAGTTAGATTAATATCTGTAACTCATTTTTTCAAAAAAAAAAAACCGAACCTGAGCAGTATTAATTTTATTTTGGGACTTCAATGCCACATCATTTTCATCTTTAGTTAAAAATATTTTTGAAAAAAATTTTTCCCACTGAATTCTTCCACTCACCGCATTCGTGTTTCTGTGCACACAGGTTTCGGCTTTTTTCACTTTTGTATGAATTCAAGATTTAGAATATTCATATTTATATTTTTAATTAACTTAAATTAATGTTAATTAAAAATTAAGATAAAATCTCACACTCTCCAAGGACTACCTAATTCCTGTATTAAAAAAAAGATGAGACGGACAGAACAACAACAGCCAATGCACTGGGGAAAAGAGACATGAATAAACTAATAATTTAATTTCCTTTTGTTTAATTATTTAGGTCCCAGGATTGAAAATACTAATACTTTAACATTGTTTATACATACCTAAAAACTCAATTAACAAACAAGATTGCCACTCTGTGTCCAAGAAAAGGAAATAACAATAATAATATGATTGCCACCTCATCCGTACCGTTCCATGTGTCAATTGATACATAATTAGCATTGGAGCTAACAACAACAATCATAACGAACAAATTTCCACCATTTAAATCATCGAAATTCTAAAAATTCATTCAAAATTTGTTTTCTTCTCTTTATCAAGTTAAATAATTTTAACAGTGTCAGGGATTTGTAATCCAAACGACATCAAGAGTTTTCCTTAAATTTTTTTTAAACATGATATAATGATTTTTTTTCCAAACATATGCATCTTATTTCAAGTCTGGACACTTCTTCCAATAAAAATTTAAATATTAATTTTCCTATGTGAATGGTAACAAAATAAAGTAAATCTAACATCTTTCTTATGGGTATGGTTGCATTTATAAATAAAAATAACAAAAAAAAAAGCATGTTTATAGCCGAACAAAACAGAGTGTAATTCATGGGGAAAACTCATTTGATTGTCTGAAATTTTGTTGGTGGTCCCAGAAAATTCTGTTTGTCTTTGTAAGTCTAGAGCTCAGGTTGGCATTCCATCATTGCGTTACTGTTCATTAGGATCATTTCTGAAGGGAGAAAACAGAGTTTTCTGTTTTTTTTTTTGGATGATAGGAGAAGACAGAGTTTTAATGAGATTTCTTTAAGATCGAATGCCTCTCTCATGATTATAAGTATATTAAAGTAATTTAATCAACTATAAAAAAAAAAAATTGAACCTTTTGTGTGCGTGGGTGCTTGTTTTCTTTTATAAATTTTATTTTGCAATAATTACAAGAATCTTGGTTTTTGTTTTTGGGCTATGGGACTCGTTTGATGAGCTTAATCCATACTTTTGTCCTGTTTGGATGGGGAAAAGATATCAAGAGAGAGATGAGGAGAGGTAATCAGAGTAATAATGTTATAACTCGTCCATCCTATTCAAATGAAAAAAAAAAACAATTACTTCTTTTTTTTCAAAATTACTGCTAATCTTATTCTGACGGATATTAAATATGAATACTTTTAGATTCAAAATTTAATTCGTGTAAAACTTACCCCTTCGCTACAGACTCAACCCATCAGTGATTAGACGAGCTCTTGATATGGGAAAAAACCACGAACAGCGTATTTGCCGCCCAGAGTTGATAAAAGACAAAGCTTGTGAAGTGGTGGTTTTTGTCTGCTCTTCCTTATCAATTTAGCCCCATACATTTATTGAATTTGAATAAGACATGTTAATGCTCTCCGTGTGAAAACGAGAAAAAACAGAGGAAAAAGACACACCAATACTTATCCCCTCCCAACAATTCCCATCAACAAAAAGCAGAAGTGATTGTGATCTTTACCACGCCAATACCGTTAACTGAACTTAAATCATTATCACAGCAAAGAGATCATTCCAGGAACAAAAATCTAAAGCAAGTTTCTGACAATAGCTGCAGTAACTTGAGCAATATCATGCAGAGCATTGTTCTCTGGTGTGAGTGGCGATTTCCCAGAGGAGAAGCCACTTTCACAAGAATTGGCTTCCAAGGCTGCGTCATTAGCCCCATCTTCTGCAAACTTAGGATCCCCCTTTTGCAGAGCTGCAATAGCTTCTGGAACATCAGCTTCTAGAACTGCTCTGTACTGGTCTGCACAAGAACGCAGGGCTTGCTTTTCCCTATCACTGTGGCTTCTTCGCTGAAGCTCTTGGCGGATTTTGGCGAGGGCTTGCTTGGCTTTGGCTTTCATGGCGTCCACCATGATGAGAGCTAGCCCTGAGATGTCAGCATCAGAGCTTCGAGGGTCTGATTTGAGGTATTGCAGACAGAGGGCTTGGTTTGGAGTGTGCTTGCAGGTTTGTTGTATGAGGTTGGCATCGTTGAAGGAAGATGAAGTTGCAGACAGAACGTAGAAGAAGAGGAGGAGAGGTAGGAGCTTGAAGTTGGTCATTTTGTCGAGAAATTGGTATTATGGGAAACTGTACTGAGAACTGAAAGATGATGAGTAGATTTTTATGAAGGGAGTGGGATTTATATACAGTGAGGAAGAATGGGATTGTGGCGTGCAAGGAAGGGATGAGTTATGGTGGGCTTGGTTTGTGGGCTTGAGGGTTTATGATGAGATGACTTTAGGCAAAAAGGGAAGGAGTTGGAGATCAAAAGAACAATCCGGAGATTCCATTATTGCCATTAGAGTTGCCACAAAGACACGCCTTTCTTTATTTGCTTTTCGGCCAACGCTCTATCATTCAGTGGATCGATTAATAATGATTATTGATAATAGTTGGGCTTGTAAAACGGAGGCAATTAAAAACAAAGGGGATTGAACCCGACGTGAATCGAACACGCAACCTTCTGATCTGGAGTCAGACGCGCTACCATTGCGCCACGGATCCACATCTGGTCCTTGTATTTAAACTTATATGAAAACGTATTTTTAGATTGTTTAAAAAGGTCATTTACTTTTTAAATATTTTATAAAAATCAGGAGTTATTTTTTAGGATTAAAATATTTTAGATTGCCCTATTAACATCATTAATCTTTGCATAGAGACTAAAAATACTAATAAAACAAAATTATAAGATTTAATATTTCTAAAAAATGAAATAATTTAATTAAAAAACCATATAAGTATCAAATTAAATTATTTAATTACGAGTATGAAACATTATTTTTTTTCATTGCAAGTAGTAGCATGTGAGCATATGCTCGTAACATCAAGCCCACAATATGATGCAAATAAAAGTAACGATGTTCTCGTTCGATCACAACAGTGCAACGCTTCAATTTTAAGGTGCAAGATATAATTTAAAAAAAAGCTAAATTTTGAGTAATATTCATATTACCAATATATATATATATGAAAAAACTTGGATTTCACATTTCGTAAAAAAAATTAATTACATAATTTCTTTAATATTTTTCCATTTTTTTTACCAACAATAGTTTTGAATTAATGCACAAAATATAATTAAAATGATATAAATGAAAGCAAATATTGTGGGGTTCCCCCAGTGACTTAAATAATAAGCACTCCATTAATTATGGACGTTGATTATGAAGACAAGTCGTGTCAATATGTTCGCGGACTTGCCCATATCATATGTCTTCCACTTTAATGTGATGTAGAAATTAAAAACCCTAATACTATGCAACCAGATGGGCAATAATTACCCCTTGGAAGATGATGTAAATTTAACTTCCTCTGATCTGTTCGTATTAATTTTCTTTTTATAAAAAAAGTTTACATTTCAAATTCATAGCCAATACAAAACAATATGCTAAATAAAATATCGGCTAAGTACTTTTGATCCTTTAATTTTGTACAAGGTTTTAATTTAGTCTCTTAATTTTAAAAAGTATACTTTTAGTCATTTAACCCTAAAATTTTTTTAAAAAAATGGTGACATTAAGATCTTAAATGTTGAGAAAATATTTTCAAATGCTAACATATTGATTTTAATTTTAAAATATCCATGATTGTTGCAAAAAATCATCATCAAAGCCTAATAATTTTAGAATTAAAGGATCAAATGTATGCTTTTTAAAATTAAAAGACCAAATTAAAACTTTATACAAAATTAAAGAACTAAATGTATACTTTAACCATAAAATATAAGATATTGTTGGGAAAAGAGGACGGTACCTCTAAATTTTATTAATTGCCCTCGCTTAAAATGGCGGAGGAATACCATGGTTACATTAAATACTCTCACCATCACAAATAAAATACAACATCTGACTTATACCCCAAAAAAAAGTTTTTTTTTTTTAAAAATGAGACTTCAAAATCCTATTAACCTATGAGTAATATCCCTCCAAGACTTCATTCATCAGGGTGGGTGAAGCACTGAATCCCAAGAAGAAGGCTCCCTGCAAAAGTTTTTCTCATACAATAATGCTAAGTGGCATTCATATATGCCAAGCGAATAATTAAACACAAGGGATTCATTAAGTAATCAATCAAGTGTATAAATAAGCAGATAGACAATCTACAGTATCCAATCCAAAAATAATGCAGAAGCACTTGGCTGACTTACTAACCTTTTAAGCTGCTCAAATTAACTTCATAATCACATGCATTTTGTTTGTCTGGGTGACATGCTTGAAAAGAGACGTATTTGAGATACACTTTGTCAAAGGTGCAAAAGTGCCTCTAAAGCTGTTTAAGTTTGATGGAATTTCCATTGATCTACCATATGCCAAACTCAAAGCATTGTATGTGAAGAGTCAACAAATTCTTGAACGTCCATGCTCGATATTTCCTACTGAATAAAATTAACTAATTGTTTAGTTTTGGTGCCATGGCATTGTTCTGATTTTTTCTGACCTTTGTCTAACAAAAAATTCCTTCACGTCTGTTATTTATTCCCTCATATATTGGGTTGCAAAGCCTTTAGTCAAACCATTCTTCACAAGGAATAGCTGGAAAAACCTGTCCGTTCCAAATGTTGAGGTAAGATGCATGCCACTCTGTTTTCTCTCATGTCATCAGGTTCTCTAACTTATGTCACTTATGTCTAGGTAACACAAAATAAATATTAAACCAGCATAATTTCTTGCTGATTAATTTGGGAAACAATAACAGAATCCAATTGGTCCTGTTTTGCTTCATTCCTCTTAGGCCGTCTCGGTTTTCTAGCCTCTCACGCGCAAAAACTGTTTTCAGGACTTCCAATCTATGCTGAGATTTCTTAAATTGCGGGCAAAAAGGCGAGGAGTGCATGGAACTGTAAGTGCATTCGTACCAGAGTAGCATTCACTTACATTGTCTGCTTCACTTGTGTACTTAAGTGCACAAGCTTTAAAGCTTATGTGAAAATACATTCTTGTTTACAGTTCCTTGGTTATTTGGGAGGAGTTCATTTGGCTGTCCTTGCAGCTTTTATTTGTCGAAGACATCCAGATGCCTCCTTAAATGCTCTAGTTTTGCACTTTTTTCAAACATTTGCCTTTTGGCCCTGGCCTAAACCAGTAATAGTGCATGAAGGGGTATTCCCAACAGTAACAAATGTTATAGAGACACAATCCTTGATGCCCATACAGCTTCCATCTAGTCCTCATGAGTATTGCCATTCAAATATTATTAGAAGCATATTCTATCGAATTAGGACCGAGTTTCTACAAGGATGTAATATGACATGGGGTATTTAAAAAAAAAAATCAAAATTACATAGATATGCTTTTTGGCATCTTACCTTGCTGCTTCGTTGATAACATTATTCACAAGCACTTAATCATAATGCTCCATATGTTGCAGTGCCTTTTTGATCTTGCTGGCCGACCATAATAGTAGCTTGTTCTACTATTTTCTTTCAATAAATTGCATATATGCGTGAACTGAAAACATGTTTGCTTATATGCCTGGAGTTTCATTTCTTTATTTTGGTTGCATTGAAAGATCTTTTGAACTCAGACTTTCATTGGGATAGTGTTTCTAAGCCTTCTTCATTTTCAAAAGAATATTCACTATTTGCCAAGATTTACCTCTCTGCTCCTAATAAAGATGATTTTGGAGATTGGGTTTGTTGGGTCAAGTATCAGCTTTCATGATTTTCTCCTCATGGTATGTATTTTACTTAGACTATTGCTATTTAGTTGAGTTACAGCATAGACCTTCAAAATCAGAATACCATCACTTATGAAAATAGTCATGTAGCCTAATGAATGACATGAGTAGTCATTGGTTAATAATAAGTGTATGATTTTATCTCATTATTTCAATAGTTAATCTTTTGGTGTAACTTCAGACTCTTGTCGATCACAAGACACAAAATTTCTTAATACTAAATGAACAAGAAATGATGAAGACAAATGCTTAATGACATTATCAAAAAAGTGGGATGCCTATTTCCTTTCTTTACAGATTTTTCCAGCATAAAAACCAGCAGTAATTAGAGTGGCCGTTTACAAATATGTCAAAATACTACATAAATGGACTGACTACATAATAGATGACAAGCACTTATCACTTGAAAGTTCCCATGATGACAATAAGGAATCATTGCTAACAATATCCTCTTTATATATTATCCTCATATCATTGTGTAGTTTCACTTTTGCAGCAGGAAGGAAGTCCTAGATTTTTGTGATCCCAACCTGATAAAATATGTGAATACTAAGAAAACTGAGCCTAACATGATTTTCCATTGGGGGCTTTCTAAACGGTAAGGATAATGTAACTGACAAGATACAATTGTTAGAGAAGGAGTTCATGAGTAATCTTAGCACATGCTACAATGTTTCTCTTAGAAAGATGAAATTGTCCATTCTACTGGCTTTCGAGCTGCCTAAGAATACTGTCTAATGATGACTTATTGCAATGCCTACAAAGACATGTTGAAAGAAGACAACTGACATTAATAAGCCAAAAAAACCCCTTAGAATAGTCACAGCAGTATCTTCCATGTCAACAAGGGCATCTAATAGTGAAGAGTTTGAGTGCTTGGGATCTCTGGGATAGATTCTAATTTATTACATTTCTAAACTTCCTACATATACTACAAGTCCTGTATTTTTAAGTTTCAATATTTGCATAGGTTTTAGGAAATACATTGTACAAGTTCTAATGAACAGGTCTCTTTAGCTGTAGAAGAAGAATGAATAGTCTAAAGTCAGCTCAAGATTTGCTTGGGTGAATCGAATAGCAAAAGAAAGAACCATTTAACAACAAAAATCATTCTCCTGGACGGATGAGAAAAATTCACATCTCGATTCTCGAATGTACAGAGTCTCAGATATACAAACAAGAAGATTATCAACCATACAAACAAAAAGAGAAGTAGTTATTCAAAATCATTAACATTAATCAATTTAAAGTATAAAGCGTATAGAAGCTTGTATATGAACAGTAATAGTAATATAAAATGTAATAGGATGTTAAATTTCAAGTAATATTTCATTTTATCGAAATGAAAACATTACATTACATTACATAATTTATAAATTTATTAATCACACGATTTCGATTTCAAAATATAAAAGTAATGGTAATTATAGTACTTTAATTCAGAAATTTAAGAGATATATTTACTATTCTAAATTTCAGATTAGTAAGCCATATTTACCGGGGGAATCACTCGCCTAAGGAGGTGAGAAAATCTCACGCCTAATGTCTCTTTAGAATAAACAAGTTTAATTGATACATAAGCAGACAGCAAAATTATTACTAAATTACTAATATCAATTTAAAATATAAAAACAGTATGGCACTATGATTTCAATATACCACATATAATAGGATGTTAAATTCAGTGATCTCTCGTGTTATAAAAAAAATTTATGAAAAAATTACATTTCATAGTTTATAGAACAAAAATTACATGATATTTCACTGGGTTTCAATTATTGCACGAAACATTAAAATGGTGAAAATTGTAATGATAAGCAATAAAAACTTTATAATTCCGAGCCTATAAAAAAAATTCTTGCATAATTTCATGACAGGAAAAAAAAAAAATCAGTTTTCATCAATCTGGCTTAAGCATAGTACAGTGAGATTTTATTCATATTCACCTGAGCAAATCCTAAATTAATTTTCAACACTATTCATTCTTCTTGTGTGACTAAAAACAAAACTATTCACAAGGACTTGTATCATCTATTCCCTAAAACCCAAGCAAATATTGAAGCCGAAAAAATACAAGGCTTGCAATATATACAGGAAATTGAGATATGAAATAAGTTAGAATCTACCCCATAACCCTAAGCACTCAAACTCGCCACTACTAGATGCCTTTGTTGGCAAAGTGATCTGCAAGACGCTGCTATGAGTATGCTGAGAGAGTTCTTGGCTTATCAAGGTCAGTTGTCTTCTTCCAGCATGTTTTTATAGGCTTTGCAGTATCATCATCAAGCAAAGCAGCATTCTTGGGCAGCTCAGAAGCCAGTAGAATGGACAATTCCATCTTTCCAGGAGAAATATCATGGTATGTGCTAAGATTATTCATGAACTCTTCCTCTAGCAATTGTATCTTGTCAGTTACATTATCCTTACCGTTTAGAAAGCCCCAATAGAAAACCACATTAGGCTCAGTTTTCTCAGCATCGACATATTCGGTTGGGTTAGGGTCACAAAAACCTTGGATTTTCTCCAACTGCATAAGTGAAACCACAAAAGAAGATGAGGATAACATATAATGGGGATATTGTTGGCAATAACTGCTTCCCGTCATCACTATTGTGAGCTCCCATGTAATAAGTGCTTGGGGTCTATTATATAACGAGTCCATTTATGAAATATTTTGACATGTTTCCAAGGCGACACTTTAATTACTAGCGATTTTTGTGCCAAAAAAAAACTGTGAAGAAAGAAAATAGCCATTCCAGTATTTTTGATATTGCCACTAACATCAATCTCCATTATTTCTTGCTCCTCTAGTATAAGAAATTTTTATCCTCATGATCAATAAAAGTTTCAAGTTACATTAAAAATAAATTATTGAAATAATGAGATAAAAGCATACACTCATTACTGAGCAATGACCATTCTTGTAATTCATTCAGCTCCATAACCATTTTCATAAGTGATGATAGCCTAATTTCAACGGTGTAAATTGTAACTCATACAGATAACACAATCCAAGTAAGGCACATACCATGAGAAGAAGACTACGAAACCGTGACTTGACCCAACCAACCCAATCTCCAAGATCATCTTTATTAGGAGAAGAGAGGTAAATCTTGGCAAACAGTGAATATTCTTTTGAATATGGAAAAGGCTCAGAAATACCATCCCAATGAATGTCTGAGTGCAAAAGATCCTTCAATGCATTCAAATAAAGAAATGAGACTCGAGACATATTCATAAGCAAACATGTCGTCAATTCATGACATATATGCAATTTATTGAAAGGAAACAATAGAGCATACTTCCATTGCAGTTGTCAAACAAAACCAGAAAGGCACCACAATATATGATGATGCGATATGATTAAGTGCCCTTGAATAAATCATTGACAAAATAAGGTAAGATGGCAACAAGCATATCAGTGTTAATTTTTTTTAAAGAAAAAACATAGTAACATACCCATGTCATATTACGTCCTCGTAGAAACTCATTCCTAATTCGATAGAATGTGCTTCTAGTAATATTTGAATGGCAATACTCATAAGGACTGGATGGAAGCTGCATAGGCATCAAGGATTGTGTCTCCATAACATCTGTTATTGTTGGGAATATCCCTTCATGCACTATTACTGGTTTAGGCCAGGGCCAAAAGGCAAATGTTTGAAAAAAGTGCATAATTAGAGCATTTAAGGAGGCATCTGGATGTCTTCGACAAATAAAAGCTGCAAGGACAGCCAAATGAACTCCTCCCAAATAACCAAGCAACTGTAAACAAGAATGTATTTTCACATAAGTTTTAAAACTTGTACACTTAAGTACATAATTGAAGCAGAGAATGTAAGTGAACGCTACTCTAGTACGAATGCACTTACAGTTCCATACACTCCTCGCCTTTTTGCCCATAATTTAAGAAATCTCAGCATAGATTGGAAATTCTGAAAACAATTGTCGCATACATGAGATATAACAAAACCAATATGGCCCAAGAGAGGAGTGAAACAGAACAGGACTACGGTTCCAGTCCTTCTTTCCCAAATCAATCAACAAGACATTTTTCTAGTTTTATATTTTGCATTACACAGATATAAGTGCAAAAAGTTAAAAAAACTTGATTTCATATGAGAAAAAAAGACTGCCATGCATTTTACCTCCACATTTGGAACGAGCTGAAGAATATGCTTATTTGCACGAACTCCAGACAGGCTTTTCCAGCTGGTGCCATCAATATTCCTTGTGAAGAAGGGGTTTAATATGTCTACATGCTGCGGACTAAAGGCTCAGCAATCCAATATATCCAAGGAAATAATTAACAAGGGTAAAGGAATTTATTAAACAAGGTCAGGAAAAAAAGAACCATAGCAATGTTCTGGTGTTAACACTAAGCAACTAGTTAAAGAGCCAATGACATATTTAGTAGAAAATACTGGGCACAAGTATTCAAGAATTTATTAACTCTTCACATATGTAATTGCTCCAAAAGTCATGTTAACAAAGTTTCATACCTAATAAATGACCCCAAAAAACAAAAAAGTGTTTCATAATTAGAAACTAAACATGCTCACCTCAGGAACATATAAAACTTTAAGTCGAGCATACGGCAGATCAATAGAAATTCCATCAAACTTGAACCGTATTAGAGGCACTTTTGCACCCTTAACACAGTGTATCTCAGATACTTCGGGTCTCTTTTGAAGCATGTCATGCAAACAAACAAAAAAGTCCTCCTGCATAAATCATAAGTCATGGAGATCAAGACAGTTGCTGCACAGCCAAATAGAAAATTACTGATAAATAGAAGAATACAACAGACTTACAGCCATTGAAGCAAAGAAAGGAGCAACACAGAGAGCATCAATATCAGATTCTGGACTGTGAACCTGAACATATTAAAAAGTTAAGAAGACAAAATAAGTTTTTGACATGTCAATAAATTGTGGCAAATCACAATAAATTAAAATATAAATGTTAGCTGAAGATCAAAAAGTAAACATTAGAGCTTTCAGCTTTAGGAGTCCTTAATGAGCCCCCGCAAAAGGCTTAGATACTCAAAAGATCAAGTAAAACCAAGTAACAGTGTTTTCATGGCTAAAAGCTTTAGACCAGACAAAGACAAAGCAGTTCATCATTTAACGGTGGATCACAATTCATTTTAAGTAATATAATTAAGGATATACCTCCAAACAAAAGAAAAATGAACAGTGTTTTATTCGTCAAGGAACATCTAATAAAGCTACAGAATCAATGAGTTGGGAGCTTGGTCACTTTGTTTATGTCTGTTCACTTTAAGGGGAAGCCTGTAGTTCAGTCATGTGTCAATTAATCCACATCTCTAGCAAGTAAGCATTTTATGAGCACAAATTTTTGCAAAGGAGCCCTTAAATCAGGTAAAGACCCTTAATAGTGAAAATGCAATATGATCAACTGAATTCAAAATGTTATATTTTCAAACTTCCACCACCGGGCCAAGACATAAAATATAAATAGCAAACTAACATCTTTGAAATTATACGGCACAAACTGAAATTGAGAGGACGTACTCCAAGGCCATAAGATCCATAAGTCAATATGGTGGCTGAAGTGACAGAAATTTGGTGCTTGGGAAGCCCATGATTCTGTGCAACCTTCTTAATCCAAGATGAAACAATCTACAAAGTTATGTGCAACATCAGATAAACAGTTTTAGAGATGAGGCAATATAATTGAAGTGCAGGATTGGTAATTGATTGATAATATCATCAAGATAGTACAACATAGAACATTTAAAACAATTATTCTAATGCAAGCATATCAGAGGAAACAAATACAAGATCAAAAGTAATAAGGGAATCCTATCTTGAACCTCCGCATTCATCATGTGGCAGGTTGCAATCTTCACATAAGGTATTATGATCAAGATGTCCTTACTCTTTCACTAAAGGCACAATTAATGCAGGGTATTTTATTTAGGTCATTAGCTACAACACAAATTTCTACAACTTCAAATTGAATGACCTGGCACTCACCCATTTTAAGGGAGGGATTAGAATAATGAATTCATGATTTTACATATTAGCTTTCACACCAAAGGCACGATACAACTCACCATGATGTGAAAAAGAAAGAAAGCAGGGGGAAAAAAAGGCATCTTCAAAAAAGATTGTCCAAGAATCTCCTGGGAACTATAATCAAATTTCTCCAAGAGTGAAAAACAATAGATGTCTAGATGTCAAGAATACATAGCCCCAATAAACTAAACAAGTACACTAGACATAAATTTCTAATACGTCAAAACCACAATTCATTGACAAAAAATATGGAATTTTCACGGGCAAGACAGAACACAATTCTATTTCCCAATCAAAACACTTAAAATGCCAAATACCTGAAGAATGATCTGAAAAAGAACTCTATATCTAAGGCACAAAAGAGAAAAAGGTAGAATGAGTAAACGGAGGAGACTTAGTAAAATGCTATGTTGAGCAAGAAAACCTGTTTGAGCTTCTGAATGGCAACTTTCCTTCTTAACTCCTCTTTCGGCGATGGAATAAGTCCTTCGTCAGCCATAAACTGCAAATTGAATTGAACCCAGAATGATAAAAGAAACTAAAAACACAGCCCCCCATGAACCCGCAAGAAAAGAGAATATTGAAAAAAGAAAGAACTACCAGAAACACAAAACAAACAAAAAGAAATAGTTGCCTCCAGAACATATATTACCTGATGCAAAGACATTGATCTTTCCTCGTCTACCTTGATGAGGAGAGCTGGATTCAGAGGGCACAATGATGGAGTGAATGAGGTTGGATTATGATGAACCAGCACCCCGAAGGGGGGCGGCGGCGGCACAGAAGGGTCAGTCAACGAAAATGGAGGACAAAGAAAGGGAATGTTGGGGTTCACATTTCCAGAATCATCGAACTGGTTATGCAAACCGGGAAGGAAAACGATGCCACTTTGAATCGGGTGGTGATAAGCATGCGCTTCCATACAAATAGCAAGCCCCGCCCAAAGAAAAATATGGCCTGAGAACAGACAAATCAAGAAGACGCACAAAATAAAGACGGAATCAATTCCAACGGCCAGCGTTAGTTACTCCCGAATCCGAAAAGCAAAAGGATCTTTAACTTAGTTGCTTTCCGTTATGATCTTTCCCGATAAGAATTCACAAGCCACCCTGTATTCAGAACAGAACAGCTCTCGCCTTCCTTTTATCTTTCTATCCGTGGCTTCTTTCTTAGACTCTCTTTTGTATCCTTCCTACTGCTCTGCTTTGCATGCTTTCTTTAAGTTTGATATCTATCGTTGGAAAGACGTTTTGAGGTTACTGGGCTGTGTACTGATTCTGACGCCGCGTCAGACACGTGTCCCAGTTTCTCGATGCCACGTGTAAAGATCCCAAAGATTTGTTAGCTGAGGCCTGAATTTGTTAATCGCGTTTCCCGTGGTCGGTCCGGTGCACGTGCCCCGAATCTTGGGATTTTCTTTTGGAAAATAATATCCAAATAGTGTAATTTCAACTCAGTAATTTGTAAAATTAATATTTAATTACAATAACTCCGCAGCATGTGGACGAAGGGAATCAAAAATAGGTTCTGATGTTTGTCTTTATTTTTTGGTACATTTTTTTAACGCAAATCTCCATTAAAAAAAACAAAACAAAATCTTTCACATCGTCCGGCACCGTGGCCCCCGGGGTGGGGGGTAACCGTTAGATCCCATCACCATTTCGGTTTTGTCTTCTTGTGTTTTGGGCTAAATGGGCTTGTTTTTTTTTGTTCATATGTTTTCTTTTCCCTTTTTAGGAGGTTCCAGGCTTCCAGCTTGTTATGGGCCCAAGCCCCTCTGGTCACAAAAGGAAAATTCCGTAAAGACTAGGATACGATTCGCCCTTTTCTTCTCCTCTCTCCTTCTTCTTCTTGTTTTTTTTTAAAAAATTAACTAAATTTGCCACACGGAGTGTTGACACTATTTTGCTGAGCTAGTATACGTAGTTAATGCTTTTTATATTTAATTAACATTTTTTGGGGGCAGTTAACTGGTTGGAAGAACTTATCCAATAAGAAGTTAGCTGGAGAGTTTGCGGGTTGGAATGGAATGATCAAACAATCTAGAAATTCCAGCGCGCATCATTTTCTTTGACTAATTAATTTCAAACAACCCAAAGTTCAGGAGAGGCCCAACTCAGTGATAATTGTTTTAGGTTTAATCCTTATGCCGCACGTTTGTGTCACATGATCACAGTGATGATTTTACCAAATCATGTTTTCACTCCTACTTACCCAATCAATCATTCAATCCTAATCTTACATCTCTCACTCAAATAAATCTTTCACTCAAACCTTGTGATTTATACTTATTACTCCTCCGGTCCTAATTATAAGACCCAATTGACTTATTTGAGGAGATTAAGGAAGTAAGTTAAGTTGGTTATTTATAATAAATAAGTATTGTCATTCCTAAAATATCCTTGCTAATTAGGTATATTGGCTAAAACTATCATTATTAGAAGGATTATCTTGGAAAAAAATGCATAAATATAAAAGACAAAATGGATTGGAGTCTTATAATTAGGACCAAATAAAAAGTCAAATGGGGTCTTATAATAAGGACCGAAGGAGTACTTAATTACGTCTTCTACATTGTTGGGGCATAAATACTTAGATATGCACTTCTTTGATGTCAGCAGCAGAATTGGTGTCCCCATTAAGGCAAAGAACCTCAAGTCCCTTGGAAAAATCTTTCCGGCTTTGTAAATCATTGGCAGTACAAAACATAGCTGGTTTTGCATCGTTCTGTGCCCCTACCCAATTGGTAACATCATTAAATAGTAGTAATCAATATCAATAATTAATCAATTCAGAGAGACCCGGGAAAAATTATATATCTCATAAGCTTGATCTAGTAAGAGAAGCCAGAAAACAGTCCAAGTTGCTTAGCTTCAAAGCTACCAAACAAGAGAAAACAAGGTAAGTTACCACCCATTATACTGTTTTTTAACCATTGTTACAAGGAAACGAAACATTTTTGGCATAGTTCTTCACATATTCCTTTCTTCACCTATTCCTATATTTTTTCACTGAAATTTTATCAGTGATGAAAAGTATGGATATTTTATTTTGTTTTAAATCAATAAGTATCTCTACGAAACAAAACTCAGTTGAGTATGGGGTTTCGGATAAGAACTATGATATTCTACCGGAGTTCATCCACACAACTCTGTGGAAAGTTCAAGAGCATCCGGGAAACTATCAACATAATGATCTCAATTCTTAAACTGGAATTTTTTTTTTTAAAAAAAAAAGCTAAATGCTAACTGCCATGGTTTGTCGATTCGAACAAATACCGATATATCCGTGATTTGGATTAACAGTGACGAAGGAAATCCCAAAACAATATCCGGAAACGCCGCTACTTAATGTTCCAATCTCCGACTCAAGAACGATCAGAAATATGCTGGAAAATCAGTTAATAGCTTAAAGACAAACGAAGCAAATCTATAGTTATTCTGAAATTATATGTACAAAGATTGCAGAAAGAATGAACGAAAAAAGAGGGTGGATCAGAGAGTGCAGCCACAGAAGAGGAAGAAGTAGCAAAGCATGGAGAGCAGGGCCACAGACTCCAATACCGTCACGAAAGCCCAGACGACGTCGTCCAATATGGAGAAATCGAAATTCAGCCTCCATAGGCTCTCCAGGTTCCAATCGCTCGTCCACCGGAACATCGATGACGGCAGAGAAAACTCGAATTGTGGCCACCGGAGGATCTCTGCGTACCACCACCTCAACATCGAGCACATGTTGCCGGAGCAATTAAGCGGAACTATTCAGGACACCTTTTTTAGAAATTTTGGGAGGTCATTTGGTCTTTTTCATAATATATAGATGCCTCATGCCCGACCCAAATAAATGAAGCAGATACGCAATGGTGTAGCGGGAGTAAACGTGGAGGTATGGGGTAGTTGGCGCGTTGATAATTTGTTTTTTCTTTTGCCGGAATTTTCTTGCTGATTATTATTATTTTATTATCTCATTGGTTTTTTTTTTTCTTACCTTAGTTTTTTTTTCCCATTTCTAGAGATAATTACTTCGTCTATATATCTCCTTATATATTACTTACAATTCTTAATATAAAAATTGGTTTAACTTTTAATTTAGTCTTAAATATAAAACTTTAATTCACTTTGTTTATTTATTCATTTATTTTTCTAAAGATAGTTTTTTAGTGGTTACACATGTTGAATGTTTCATTAAATAATAATTCTAACTAATGCATGTGATCAGTAAGGGTATTTTAAAGAAAACAACACATATTTATTACCAATAACTAACTTAACTAATTTTCTTAATATACTTAAATTAGTCAATTAGCTTTTATATTGAGGATTGAAAGTAATTTTTTTAATATAACTCATAATATTTTAAAATCATTTTGGATTTGAAACTAATCTATATCAAGCCAAAAGCATTAAAGTTAGAACTTTCACAGTCGCGGTGTATTTTGTATTCAAATATTTTTCTTGAAACATGAGTAATTATTTCAAAACCCTAGATAGTGGCATTTGATCATGTGTTTGAAGAAGCTACTTCCTCTAATCCTTAGTATACAAATTTATTAGCTAATATGTAAGTATTAAAAAATTAGTAAAAACGGTTATTTTACCGTAAAATATGTATTTATTTTCCTAAACTATACTTATTTTTATACATACAATTGAAAATATCCCCTTTCCCACACTTTCACCCTTCCATGACAATTTGAGTTATAAAACACATGGCCTCCTTTATGAGAGAGTATACATGTGATGGCAGATGAGTTATAATTTTTTGATGGACTTCTTTAACTACGTGCATTTAAACTGTTCAGAAACTTTTTTAATGCTATTTTCGGTTTTTAATATAAAATTTTATGTGACTTTTATTTTTATCATAAATATAAGACCGCAATTCATTTTTTTGTCATATTTATTTATTTTTCTCTAATATAGTCCTTTTAATAACAGTAGCTCAAACTAATAAATTTAATTAGTAAGGATATTTTAGAAAAGATAGCCTATATTTATCACAAATAACTAATTTAACTTGTTTTCTTATCACAAATAACTAATTTAACTTATTTTCTTAATCTACTCAAATTAGTCAACTAGCTCTTATATTTAGGATTAGAGGTAGTATGTAGAATCAAAAAAGATATCTTAGAAAAAAATAAAAATTTGATAGATACAGTGAATTGAGCTCTTACATTTAAAATCACATCTAACCTCCAATTATGTTTATATCTCTACTCTTTAATATAAGACCTAGTTAACTAAATTAGAGAGATTAAAAAAATTAGTTAAGCTAATTATTTATAGTAAATAGATGCTGTATTTTCTAAAATATATTTATGAATTACGTGTGTTTATAATAATTTCTTAACATATGCAATTACTATAATAATTACTTAAAGATAAAATAATAAATGTTAAAAATAAAATAAATTAAAATATTATATTTGAGATCAAATTACTAGTTAAAAAATAATTAAGATTAAATTAAATGTCAAATTATCTCATAAGTTGGTATTAAAAGGTTGGAGATGAGATAGTAATTTTGATGCTGACCAATTCAGTTCACCATACTCATGATGGTTTCGATGAATGTGCTGCTTTTAGTAATTTCTAGATACATCCTGGACATGAATTGATGTCTATTTTTTATATTTGAAAAGAATTATGGAAAAATGTTAAGCGGAGACATATGGCTGCGTTTGGCTCCAGGCGTTTGGGAGTGTCGGTGGTACGATCCGATACTCTCTTTGAGAAATGTGGTGACAAAATTTGAACGAGAAGCGGTTTTCAAGGGGACAGTATTGTTGGGGGGTGAACATTGAGGTGTCATCGTGGGTCATGGAGGAATGGGACCAAGCACCTTCTTCCCATCTTATGCTTTACTCCCTTCTTCAACTTCTCCTCTCAAGTCGTTCCATTTTAGAATTCCTTGGCTATTATCTTTCGTGTTTTTTTTTTTAAAAAAAACTGCTTGATTATACAATTTTTCAGTTGGAAAAATAGATAATGCAATTTGTTTATGAAAACTAAAACACATGCAGAAAAAATGATTAAAAGAAATGATATTATTTGAAAGACGCCAACAAATACTACCTCCAGTCCTTAATATAGGACCTCGTTTGACTTTTATTTTAATTCTAAATATAAGACCCCAATTCACTTTGTCTTTAATATTCATGTTTTTTTTTTCAAAATAGTCCTTTTAATAATGATAGTTCTAACCAATATACTTGATTAGTAAGAATATTTTAAGAAAAACAACAGCTATTTATGATAAATAACTACCTTAACTTCTTTTCTTAATTTCCTTAAATTAGTCAGTTAGCTCTTATAACTGGGACCAGAGATAGTATATAGTAATGATAAGTAATTAACTTTTTTGAGTAGTATTCTTGTATAACATCTAATAGGCGAATCGATTTTTAATCTGGATTATTATATACACAAAAGTCGACACGGCTTGTGTGAACAAGAATAATTAATGGCTTCTATTGAGGAGCACTTTTGAGATGCAATCCAAACAACCCCCCGGGATTGAAAATAGCTTTGATTTCGTATTTGCTAATAACAAAAGTATAATCTCCACCCCACTGGATATTAATGAAGTGAATCATCGTACTAGTACCCATTTCCACACAGGCATCTCCAATTTCCATATCGAGCCTTTTTGGGAAGAAAATTACAAAAAATCGGTACAAACACAACAAAACAACCTCTGATGGGAAAGACAATAACATAACTTGTTGCAGGTGACATTAGGCATCGAACAAATGATGGCAACATTTACATGAATTTCAACTCACATGACACAGAGTTTCCTTCGAAGTGATGCCAAGTATATCATCTGGAGCATATTGGGATTCTTTCGTCATTTGAGTCATTAATTTGCTCACCGAAATATTGTTAGTCTCCGCTTAAGATCCGAGCCTCGCAATTCCACTATAGTATAAATTTTGGAGTGAATGAGTTTCTAAATGTAGTACTCCTTCTGTTCTTAATATATGATATATTTAACTAATTTGATTAAATTAACGAAGTTAGATAATTTAGTTAATTATATAAAATATGATATGTTTTTTCTTTCTAAAACACTATAATCATTTTTCTTAATATCCTCTCTCCCTTTTCTACTTGTTATGGTTGAAGGAGTATCTAGAAGGGTAACTTAAAAAAATTGATAAATATAAATAATAGATCTTATATTTATGATCAAAATCAATTTAACAATTAGGTCGTATATTAAAAACTGGAAGAGTATTTCATTAGTGATTAACTTACCAAGTTTCAAGTTTCAAAATTTTGGTTTATCTTATATGTGACTCTTTGTATTATACTAGTTCTGATCATTAGTATAAAAAGTACTCCATCTGTTTCTTATTATAAGAGACATTTGATGCTTATGGTATGTTCCCATATATAAGAGACACTTAAAAGTTGTCTCTATTTTTTGTATTGATTTCCTATTTTACCCCTATTTATTTTGCCTCTAACTCATACTCTCTCTCCCTCCTACTTCTCTTTCTTTCAATAATTTAATTGTTCTCTTTCATACTTTCTCTCCTTATTAATGGGGGGTATTGTTGGAAAAAACATTATATTTTTTACACATTAATTGTCCTCAACTAATTTTAACTGTTTTTTATCAACGTAATTTAGTTATTTGTCTCTTATAATAAGGAACAGAGGGAGTAATTAGTATTTAATTTGATTCTAGGTACAAAACCATAATCTTTTTTGTTTTTAATATTTATTTATTTTCTCCTTAAATAATCTATATGGTGATTACACGTGTTAAAAAGTTGCCACTTTCCATTAAGAGTTGGTTTCAATGCCCATGATTAATAAATGTATTTTAAAGAAGACGATATTTATTTGTTACAAATAATTAATTTAACTAATTTTTTTAATATTCATAAATTAATTATATATTTCCTATATTAAAATATTGATGGCGCGATTATACGTGTTTTGGGAGGACTGGCTTAGGGGCATTTCCATGGCGGAGGGAGATTTCTATTTTTGTTTCTTTTAATAAATGCAGGATATTTCAACCGCTCTCCAGTTGCCACTAACCCTCCGTTTGGATGACAAGAAAAGTTGAGCGGAAAAAAAATAAGAGGAAAGAAAATGAAGAGAAGAGAAAATTGGAAAGAAAATATTATTACATTTTATGTTTAGATGGATAAGAGAAAAAAGAAAAAAAGAGAGTAAATATATGAATGACTAAAATATCCTTTCTGTTATATCAAAATATATCTTGATTAAAATCAAATTAAATATCACAATGAAAAACCATATTTACATTAACATAATCATATAATTTAAAATCAAATTATTTGATAAAGATATATTATCATGTTATTATATTTTAATATTAAATAATTTTGTGCAAAAAGAAAAAAAACATTTTGTATAATGTAATGCTAAAAGAACCAAAATAACAACTGTACTTGTTTTTTTCTTTTGGTTCATTTTAGAAGGATTTTGTAATTTTAGTTATTTTATTTTTAATCAAGCAAACACAAAAGAAAGACTTAATAATAATAAATAAAGTGAAAAAAAAAGGTATTATTTTGCTGAAAAAACATATGTAAGAGTAGAGAGGAAAAATATGTTTTCTTCTAATTTTCTCTCCATACATGGAGAGAAAAGTTGGGAGGAAAATAGACTATGGGACTTATCTCATTTTTTTTTTCAACTTTTCTTTCTTCTCACTTTTCTTCCCTGATCCAAACAGGAAAAAACCACTTCTCTCTTCCTTTTTCTTCTTAATTTTCCTTTCTCATTTTCTCTCCATCCAAACATAGCATAAAAGAAAAATTTTAATCCAGTCTTCTAGTCCCATATTTTCATTTTTTACCCGATTTGAAATAAGAGAATCCCACAAACATACTACTACCCTCTGTTTTTAACACAAAAGATAACTAATTAATTTAAGTAGATTAAAAAATTAGCTAAGTTCAGTTATTTGTAATAAATAAAATACCCTCTAACACGTGCAATTACTACAAGGTCTATCTTAGAAAAATAAATAAATATAAGAGATAAAATGTATTAAAATTTTATTTTTAGGACCAAATTAAATGTCAAACTAACTTTTATCTTAAAAACTGAAGGTAGTATTTCAATTTTAAAATCCTAAATTCATAATTTATGTAAAAATGTGTTATTATTTGGTTAATAAATACTACTTTCGATTCTAATTATAAGATTTCGTTTGTAAATTACAAACAAAGTTTTATAATTAGTACATGAGGTAGTATTAAAGTATATAGAACAAAAGTGATTTAGGATTTTAAAATTCGGACATATTTTTGTGAAATTTCTCCCATATGCTAATAAAAATTCTCGCATTTTAATTTTAGTCTCGGGGTAATTTTCTCTGCACGTAACACAAAAGGGTAAAGGAGGGTGAACGGGTCGGGTTGGGCGGAAAAGTGCACGCTCAACGACTATCCAGAGTGGGACATCACATTTATAGAGAAAAACAACTCGTCGGTGTGTGCTTTGAACTCGTTTTGTTTCATCTCACCTTCTCCCGTTTCCTCATCACTCTCCTCTTCTTTCTTACTGAACAAAGCCACCATTGTTTCTCCGCAAATTCTTCTCCTTCTCTGCTAGATCTGCTCTCAGATCTTCATCGCATTCAATGCTCCTGCGTTTTTTGCACCAATTACCGTGATTGCAGTGACCTGACTCTTCTTCCTATTCACTCTTTTCCAATATGATTATCTCTAGTCCTGTGACTCCTGGTCAGGTACGTCTTTCTGCTTCTTCTGCTCTTAGATCTCGCACCATTTTATTCTGTCTTTTAATGTCGTATACTGAAATGGAGCGCAACTTTGAATTTCGATGTGTTTATGGCGGGTTAGTGTAATGAACTAACTTGTTATCCACTGCCTTTGTTGGTTTCAAACTTAGTTCTATATTTATTGTTCTTTTCTGCAGGTTTCGTGCCTGCTTGGAATTATTCCTGTCGTCGCCGCATGGATATACTCGGAGATATTGGAGTATCGGAAGAATTCATTCGCTTCCAAAGTGTGAGTTTGATTGGTTATTTCACTCTAGCTGCTCGTGCTGCTGCAATAGTTATATTTTGTTGTGGAATGTATTGTATTATTATCTTGCATTTCTAAGCTGTCTGATGTATCAAGTAGGAAATTTAAGCGCTTGGCTTCCGTAGGATTGACAAACGCGTATTTTGAAGTATTTGATTCTCGATCAATGACTTCTGTTTGGATTATTAGGTGTGGTGTTTGTGCTAATGGTTGCTTCTTTAGGCAGAATTTCAGAACTTGAGATTTTTAGTTTGATAATTGTGCGCTATGTTGCATATTTTTACAAATTATTTCAAACTTAATCCGTTTTCATTTACCTGATAAGTCTAGAGAGAGGAGAAAAATTGTTAGATGGTGATCCCAGAAGTGTTGTTTTATTTTGTTCAATAAGAATAAGTTTGGAAATTAAGCACTTATCCTCATCATTAATGATAAATATGTTTTTATTGGACGCTACTAGTAGGACTTCGGATGTCAATTTGGTTGAAATGAGCAGTAATGCTGTTAAAGAAGAGGATACAGAAGTTTTATTAGAGGGGGGAGCATTGCAGACAGCCTCTCCAAAAGCTCGTAGTCCCACATCACCAATTTTTCGGTTTGTAAAAGAGGACCCTCTTCTCCTGCTTACTGTAATTCTGGTTCTATCTCTGCTTAATCTAAAATTGTATGCTCTGGGCATTCTTATTTATTTCTTCAGATTCCTTTTGATGGATGAAAGTTTTCTGATTGAAAACCGTTTGACACTTCGCGCAATGTAAGTGGAATATATGATTCAAAATATGCTTTGTTAATTGGATCAGGATACTGACTTTCATCTCATTTGCTCTTCTTTGTTCCAGGTCTGAATTTGGTCTCCTTTTGGCTTATTTTTATTTGTGTGATCGCACAGATCTGTTTAACTCATCAAAAAAAGTTAGTAAATTTTGTTACTTCATTTTTCTAGTTCACTTACTATTTCTTAATGCTCTCCAATTTTTAATGGGATATGCTATTCAACATGTGCAAGTTGCAGCAAGTCTCCTGTGTCTTTTTAGCTGACACCTACTGAGGCATTTTGCAATGTTTCAGTATAATTATGTCTTTCGTTTTGATATTTATTTCTAGTTCTGTCATGCGTGAAGCAACTGCAGACACTCTTTTGTGGTTTTGTTTATTACGTTGTCAAACAACTGTAAAAGGTTGAAACCTTTATCAGCAGTTGTTCCCACTTTAATATTAAATAACAGCTGCGAGGGGAAAAACCATGGTTGTTAGAGTTCTTTATTATTTTTCACTTCAGTACCTTATTATATCTATGAACAGATTGGCATGTGTCTGACATTTCATAATTGAGTACCACGTCTCTGTACTTTTTCATTTTGTCCTCTGTATCTACACATTGTACGGATAAAATGTCCTTGACTGCATGATTTAATCTTCATTCACAAATTGCTGATTGGTATGTTCTGTTATGTATTTTATGTATTGCTGATATGATTTTTGGGGAAAACTGACAATTGTATTTCTTCCAGAGTTACAACAGGGATCTTTTCTGGTTTCTCTATTTCCTCCTCATCATAGTTTCGGCAATGACTTCTTTTAAGATACATCATGACAAGTCTCCATTCTCTGGGAAATCCATACTTTATTTGAATAGGCACCAGACTGAAGAATGGAAAGGCTGGATGCAGGTTGGACACTATTTCATGATGCCATATCTAAGAACTCTCCTATTATTCTGCAATGGAGAAAACCTTTACTTTGAAACTCCTAGATTGAGAAATCTAAAATCAACACAAATACATTTATTTGGTTTGAACCTTTTGTTCAGATTTTTTGTGTTTCTCTTGTAAACATATTGATGTTTTGCTTTGATGCTGCTACCATTTGACATATGGTGCCTTTCTTGTGGTTTCACTCTTTCGTCTCACAGGTTTTGTTTTTGATGTACCATTACTTTGCTGCATCTGAGATCTATAATGCCATTCGTATCTTCATTGCTGCATATGTCTGGATGACTGGTTTTGGGAACTTCTCATATTATTATGTACGGAAAGATTTTAGTCCTGCAAGGTTTGCTCAGGTATGCTGATGTCTTGGACTATAAGAATGCTTTTGAATATTTGGTAACCATTCTGCTATGACTGTAAAGTCTTCCTCACACTGCTTTTCTGGTTGAGCAGATGATGTGGCGGCTTAATTTCTTGGTGTTGTTCTGCTGTGTTGTCCTTAACAACAGTTATATGTTGTATTACATCTGTCCTATGCATACTCTTTTCACTCTTATGGTTTATGGGGCACTTGGTATTCTGAACAAGTACAATGAGATTGGGTCAGTTATTGCAGCAAAAATCATTGCTTGCTTCTTGGTGGTCATACTAGTATGGGAGATACCTGGAGTATTTGAATGGGTCTGGAGCCCATTTTCTTTCCTGCTCGGTTAGTAACTTTTGTGATGTTTAGCTTACATCTAAAAGCATTGTGGTCTTTCTGACTGGGAGTCTGGGATTCGATGCAGGTTATACTGATCCTAACCCTGCAAAATCTCACCTTCCTCGTTTGCATGAATGGCATTTCCGCTCCGGTCTTGATCGCTACATCTGGATAATTGGAATGATTTATGCTTACTATCATCCAACTGTAAGTTTCCAGTTCATGTTCTTGAAATAATTGTAGAAACTCTACAGATCACAGATCACCTCCAGCTTTTCTGTGATTGATTGATGAATATGAAATAGGAACATCTCTATGTTCTTCTTCTTCTGCTGCCGCTCCTCCTCCTCCTCCTCCTCCTCCTCCTCCTCCTTTGTCTTTTAAGTTGAATTCCTTAATGAATGTCACAAAATTTGATAGGTTGAAAGATGGATGGAGAAATTGGAGGAAGTGGAAATCAAGCGTAGAATATCAATCAAAGCTCTTGTTGCAATAATATCTTTGCTGGTATTTTATTTTAATGGTTTTCTGATGTCATGTAAATGTTATACCTTCGATTTTCTTCATTCATTTGCAGCACTGACCTATTGAGTTAATTTCCAGGCTGGCTATTTATGGTTCGAGTATATATACAAGCTGGACAAGATTACTTACAACAAATATCATCCATACACCTCATGGATTCCTATAACGTATTTGTTTATTTCCATATTGTTCTTTTGCTTTTCTGAGTTATTGAAGGCATTACTCTAGATATTCATGTATTATTTTTTTAACAGCGTATACATATGCCTCCGAAATGTTACTCAAAGTTTCCGTGGCTACTCTTTGACCCTTTTTGCGTAAGTGGTCTTCATTTCAGTTCAGTTTTTATTCAACTCTTTCTCTCTCTCACTCACTCTCTCTCCCCTCATACACCCACACGCAATTTCTCATGCAATTTGACATATGCCTGTGATGAGAATTTGTTGGTGGATGCTGTCTAATAATAATTGAACTAATTTGTGTCCTTGATTTAGAACGCTGATTTGTGAATCACTCTGTTGGTTCCTTTTGTTCTGCTAGATGGCTTGGAAAGATCACATTGGAAACCTATATCTCCCAGATCCATATCTGGTTAAGGTATACCTTTGTGCTCATGTATTGTGTCCCACATGGTCTTGTTGTTGGTATTACAAAAGGTGACACGAAATCTGTAAATGCCTCATATAATTACCGGAAGTTGCAGATGCAATTTAGTTGAAATTTACCCTTTTCAGGAATCATGTGAATGAGTTCACCAGAAAAGAAAGAAAAGAAATGATGTGAATGAGTTTTTAAGCTTTGGGATGATTTCCGTGCATGGAAGGGATTTTAGAATGCTTCTCAGTTTTTCAGTTTTAGACGATTATTGTATGTATACCTAAAAAAATTTGGTTATAATTACTTCTTAGTCATGATGCAAAGGGAGGAAACACCTTTCACATTCAGTACACGTATGTTAGTGGGTGATGAGGTGTTGATGCTTGGACGCATAAGTGTGCATGTTTTGTTTGATTTTTTTAGGAAGTGCACGCGCGAGTGTTGCTTTTATTTTACATTGTTCATCAAATAAATTCTCTTATACCATGTCTGTGATTGATTTCAGGTCTGGTGTTCCAGATGGTCAACCCAAATTATTGCTTTCTTTAATCCCAGACTACCCAATGTTGAATTTTATGCTCGTTTCTGCTATATATATCGCAGTAAGTACATGATAATGAGAATGATATATTGGAATTTTGTAAACTGTGTTTCACTCTGAATATTCTGTTTCCCCGCAGATTTCTTATAGGCTCTTTGAACTGACAAATACACTGAAAATGGCGTTTGTGCCTAGCAAAGACGATAAACGTCTTGTACACAACATAGTTACGGCTACAACAATCTCAGTGTTTTATATTCCTTGTCCTTTGTCTTCCTTAGGTTACCTCTAATGTGGGTAAGTGTTAATGTGTAATTCCTCTGGACATTTTTGGGCTGTGTCAGCTTTTAATCCTTATGCGTAACTCATAGCTATCCGTTAGTCGATATTACGTTCATATATGCATCCGCACATAACTGAGTACGTGCAGATAAACACAACTGCATGCAGTATCCATTTTTGTCAAAACACATTTGTCCTGCGCAGGAGTAGTGATGCTGATGCTAAGAAAACTGGTTTCATTCACTGAGTGTAAATTTATGTAATGTTTTTGTTGTCTGGAAAATCTTCAGCACTCGTGAATTATATTTGTATGTCTGAAAAAGTCTTCTAGGGAATTGTTGGTATGGTTGGGACTTGTTTTGTGCCCCTGAGAATGGAAATTTGTGCGGCGTCAGTTTGAACGTTAACTAACACTAGAATAGTTTTATCTTAACTGCATATTGCTGATAATAAAAAATTCACAGGTTTGAGAGTTGAGACATGTATATTACGGATTGCTGCAAGCTTACATGCCAGATTCCTATGGACTCGGAAGAATTCTGCGCAACTTCTACAGTTTGCTTGTCAAACCAAATTTTCAATGAAGGATGCCTTTGTGTTCATCCCGTTATTGAGACTACCTACACGGGAATCATTATAATAGGATTCTAGCTGGTTTCAGAAAGTTGTATATTTGGGGGCGGCTAGTGGATGGCGTCTGTTTTTTTTTTTTTTCCACATTTGGTTGTAAGCTAGGTCGGTTTATTTCAGATGAGTAAACGACATGTAAATACCCATACGTTTGATTTATAATAGATTGGATATGGTCATCTTTGATGAAGAGGCTACCATCTCCCGGCGACAGATGGTATTAACCCTGATGCGTTTAAGACAGCCCTGTTACGAACCAGGTTTTGTTTTGTTTTGTTTTGTTTTTTTTTTTGGGACTTGGAGTAAACTAGTTTATTCTTGAGACACTAAGCAATAAGCAAGCAGGTTGGAGGGGATTATTTTGGCTGAAATCTAAGTTCAGAACTAAATCGAACGACGTAAGTGAAGAAACATCTCCAATATAGGAAATTCAAACATAATAAAGACAATGAATTGACAAAAAGAATTGTTAATGACTTGCTCTTAAATCTTGATCTTTGTGCTAATATCTGCTAATTACAACCCATTAGTTCTGCAAAATGCATAGACAATGGATAGGGGGGCCAGCTGGGGGCTGGTGGATGAAAACCCATTGTCCAAATACATTAGCAAAACAGTCGACTTTCTCAAGATGCAAAGTCGAGTGCTGGGTATCATTAAATCAAAAGCAGTACTTATCAACCGGTTTATCCCTTGGACAAAAGCACAAAAAAACGGTTGATTTAACATTGATCACAGTCAATCAATCCCGACCCAGTTCATCTATTTGCGCTTTTGTGGATACACTAATTGAATAATTCACCTTCCATGTCAGCTAGCTCATCCTGAAGGGAGTCTGCTCCATGTTGACGACTCAGGTTTTGCATTAAGCTGCGAGCAATTATTATCAGGTTGTACATGTCAACCGCTTTATAAAATGGTGGGTTCCTAAGAATTGCCCACCTCAGCTTCAACACACCAAAGCATCTTTTTACTGCATTCCCAGGGAAGAAGACTTCATGCTTCGTACCACATCTAGCGGTAACCATTAGCCCCGGGAACTCGGTGAGACGCAGGTTCAGACTTCAGGGTGAGCAATTTGGCGGGAAAATGTTGTAGATGTGAAAATAAAAAGAATAGGAATATTATTATTGTCTAATTTGTCTTTTTATGAAATATTCCCTTATATTAATGTAAAAATATTCTCCAGTGTAATACTCCTACTATCCTAAGTATATGAACCAGGATAAGGATAAAGAGTTGGTTTTGGTCTTAGAATATAAAATCTTGATTTGTTTTACTTTTCACATATATATATTATTTTTCACAAGTTAATTGATCAAATTTATGAGTTAATATATAATCTAATGTTATATAAGCGTGTTATAAAAAGATTATGTCATATTATTAAAATTGAATAATTTATTTAGCTTTTTAAATTTTAAATTAGTTAAGTAGCTTATACGGCAAGGAGCTAGGGAGTATTATACCAAAAAGTCTGTATTATTGAACATGATATCCAAGATGTAATAAGTTTCAACAGTTCAGAACGAAGGATACGTGCGTATATAAAATTATTCATATGTACAATCAATAAACCCAACCCATTAAAAGTTATAACAAGTGCTAGATATTATAAAAATTACAGTATAAATAATAAATCAAATTTATGCATATATAAATAAAACGTCTATAATTAACAATTCACTAATCAAAATTTTTTTTATTTTTTCTTAATTAATCCCGGAAATAACAGAGCAACAAAAGCATTATACACAAAAACATTCTGGGAGAGATGTTCCATGTCGCCTGGAAAAACCCAAAATGCTCATGCTTCATTATCACAATTTAAAGAGATATGGATGGGAAGGGGGTTCCAAAATAGTACGCACATGAGTACTTATTTACAATAATAGAATGCAAATAAAAATTAATACAAACATATTTAGTGATAAATGTCCCTTTTCCGGATCAACAGTGAATATCAATTAAAATAAATCCATATTTTTAATACTAAAAATAAAAAAAAATTAAAAAAAAATGCTGAAACATCTCTGATTGTGATATTTATCATCTGAAAATACCAAAAATTTATTTAAAAACTCAAATGCAACCTTTTTTTTTGGCGAGTGTAGCTCATTTTTAGTTGTACACAACCCAACCATGTTGCAGAATATATAGAAGACACCACCTGCCTTTCTTTAAGTATATTTTCAGATAATAAATTTTGCAATCAAAATTGCTGATTGAACTTGAACTACATGAATCAGCCTTGAACGTCAATATATAATTCATCGTAAACATAGCTTTCCAATATATAGAACCATAAGAGCCTCTCTCTCTCTCTCTCTCTCTCTCTAGTCCTCACAACCACCTTTTTATATTCCTTTCTCGCGCTAAATAATATTATCTCCCGTTTTTAATACAAGATTTTGTTTGATTTTTATTTTGATCCTAAATATAAGACCCCAACTCATTTTGTTTCTTATATTTATGTATTTTTTTAAGGTAGTGTTTTAATTCTAGCCAATACACTTGATTAGCAATAATATTTTAGGAAAGATAACACCCATTTATTACAAATAATTAAGTTAACTTTTTTTTTAATTTCTTCAAATTAATCAACTGGTTCTTATAATTAAGACTGGAAATAGTAAATATGATGCCTGCCACGCATAAAACAAAAACAACACACGCACACGCATCCATATTTCCAATATTGCGTGACAGATATGGGAAGAAAAGAGAGAATATAGCACCTGAACCGAAAAAGCATATTCTGGATCATGTAAACGAATCATAATCTCTAGAAAGCAGATTCTTTCCTGGCCGCCCCGTCTTAGTTTAGTTACATTATTATTCTAAGAGGCAGAGCACTTAAGCAATACAAAATGTACAATATTACATCGGTGAATAATAACAATAATAATCCCTTTATTTTTCCTCCTTTGATTTTTACCTAATCAATTTACAGTTTGATCGTTTTCCACCATTTCTCCACCATCCTTGCTTCTCTCGGAGATGCTTCTTCTTCTTCCCTGTCTGATTTGAAGAGAGACAGAGGGAAAGACGTGGACAAGCCAAGCAGAGACCTGAAGGTAATGACAGAGCCTTGTGGAGGAGGAGGGTCTCTGACATAAATCTCGATCAAGGTGAACCAAACCAGGAAGTCCCTAGCTTTGACCCCTCTCAGATTCTTGATCTTGTTTGGCTCCAAGAATGCCGTAACCTCGGTGTCGAAGCATACGAGGATGTTGTCGAACCTGTGCTCTTTCTTCTCCCTAAGCTTCAGCCAAACGAACCCTATCTCCTTCACGAAGCCACATTCCTGGATGATATTGTTCTCCTCCTCCTGCTGAAACGTCGTCGTCAAGAGCCCATCTGGTAGCCCCATCTCAGCCAGCAACAATGAGAACCTCTCTTTGCAAACTTGGCCTCCATGGTACACCTCAGGTTTTGTCTTCAGCTCCTCTGTTACTAAAGACATGGTGGTTCTTTGGTGTCCTGAGAGCTTCTAGGTGGTACTGATAAACTGATAACGGACAGAAAGATTGAAACTTTGAACCAATTCTGGTGTGGGCGATGATCCTTACGATGGGGGTTTTATAAAAAGTTTTGGCATTTGTCCCCTATAGAGTGGTGGGGTCTTAAGCTTACGTGGCCTGAATTGTCCCATAATACTCATTTTGAGATGAAAATTTTATGTTGGTAACGATGGGTTTTTATCAAAAGGAAAAAAAAAATAGAGAACATTATTTCTTTATTTTACAATTGTTTTAAAATAAAAAAGGATATCATCATTATGCCCAACTAGGGGTGGAAATAGGCCAGGCGGCCTGGCCTGGCCTATTTCCAAATTAAAACAGGCTCAGGCCTTTTTAAAGGCTTATTTCTTTTAAAAGACTAGGCCCAGGCTCTTTAATAAGCCTATTAAGCCTGTTAGGCGACCTGGACCTGTTATATTTTTTTTTTAAAAATATTATAATTACAAATTTATAATTAAATTTTTTAAAATAATATCATGTTTTGATTAATATTGTAATATGCCTAATACCACATTTTTATCCTGAATAAAACCATGTTTGGATTACTCTTCAATATACCTTGAATGATGATTTCTATAATATACACTTTGTTATTCGTTCAAATCCTACTGCCCGATAGAGGTGGTAATACGGGCTGGCGGTGCGGATACGGGCTAGCCCGCGGCGGTATGCCAGCCCGAGCCCGCCAAGGCGGGTTGGGGGGCCAGCCCGCCTAAATATTCTTTAAAAAAAAAATAAAAAATATTATTATTAATATAGGTTGAACTTAATTTGAAATGTTAAAATTAGGCTTCGAATCTTGAATTTGAGTAGTGAGTTATGATAAAATAAAGTGAGGATTAATTTATAATTTAAGAATATATTTAGAAACTAATATATTTTTTTATAAATAATTAATTTAACTAGTTTTTTAATTCAAAGTAATTTAGTTTTCTTATCCAAATTAATTAAGTAGATATTTTATGTATAAATGTATAAGTATCACATGTTTATTTAATTTTATAAAGGCTTTTATAGTGACACAACAAATAAATGAAAAATAAAAGATGGATGATGATCTTCGTATAACTACACACAGAATCACAAATATATAAAGTGTTTAATTACTTATGTAATGATATGAAAGAAGCAATGTTTAATTGTTCATGTGGAATTTAAGAGTTAAAATATTTTAATTATATTATAAATTATATGAAAAATTAAAAAAAAAAATCGCGGGCTCAAAATGGTGCGGGCTGGAATAGCCCGCACCTTGGTGGGTTGGAATAGCTTGCACCTTGGCGGGCTGGCATATTGCCAACCCGAGCCCCCCTTTTTTGGTGGGCTGGCGGGCTGGGCTCGACCGACTCTACTGCCCGATGATGATTTCGTGTTTGTCATTTTTGACTTTTATTTACCTATACAAAACTACTTAATTTTTCTAATGTACATCACCAACAAGCGACAACAGAAATAACCCCTCTATGAATTTGATTTCTGTTTATCCCTTGTATTGTGACCATTTTAACTACATCTTCTCCTCAAGTTATTAAATATTTTTCACTTAAATAATATAATTTGAAACATGAACAACAAAATAATATACTACCATTTGAATATTAAATATTTTTCACTTAAATATTTTAGATAATTTTTATATTTGTATTTTAGATAATTTGGATTGAGTTAT